TCTATTAAAGGATCGTGCATTAGGAAGGTTGAGAACCACTGAACTAGAGGAGAGTTGTATGTTTCATTGGTGCTATACTGCATCCTGACTGGCTCGTCTCTTCCCTAAGACTGTTTGGTAAGGGGATGTCCAGTTGCCTACAGATGGGCTTTGGGTCTCCACTCCGCACTCCCCCTCATTCACAATGATTTGGTTTTTGTTCTGGGTCTTTGCCATCAATTCTGACCCATAGTAACTTGCTAGGACAGAGTCGAAACTGTCCCTGTGGGTTTCGGAGATTGTCACTCTTTATGGGAGTAGAAAGCCTCCTCTTTCTCAGTTGGAGTAGTTGTTGGTTTTGAACTGCTCACCTTGCAGTTAGTGGCCCAACGTGTAACCCCCTATACCACCAGGGTTCCATTCACACACCCAGGGCTAAAGGAGCTGTGTTCACCTGGTCCGAGCTGTAGCTCCCATCAAGTCGGCTCAGACTCACAGCGACCCACTGTCCCACAGAAAGAACCACAGCTCGCTTGGGCCCGGGCAGGTCACGCAATGGTTGCTCTGAATGAGCCCCTGGTTGCAGCCAAGACGTCCATTTCTCTCGTTGAGGATCTTCCTCTTTTCACTCTGGCCCTTGACTGTGCCAGGCTGGATGTCTGTCTCCAAGGGCAGATGTCTCTTGTCCAAGGTGTGTGCTCACCGACCTCACTTCCTCCAAGACGGATGTGTGTTCTTCTGGCAATCCGTGGTACTTACGCTACTCTTGGCCAGCACCGTATTTCAAATGCATCCGTTTTTCTGTGGTCTTCTGTCCAATTTTCCTCAGTGACCTCCTGGGCAAACGCGGGTGCAGCCCTGGCAGGGTAGTGGGCTGTTAGCCACAGAGCCCGCAGCTCCTTGGAAGACAGGCATTCTGTTTCCGGAGATTCGCAGCCTTAGGAACCTCAAGGGGCTGTTCCATTCTGTCCTGGAGTGTTACAGCGATTTGAAACCAACTGCACGGCAGTCAGCTTTTTAGTGCAAATGTGCCCGATGCAATGTCACTTGATTTCTTGACCGCTACGTCTATGAGCTTCGATTGTGGGTCCAAGTGAAATGAAATCTTGACAACTCCAGTTTCTCCATTTATCATGCTGTTGTCCGGTGTGAGGATCTGTTTTCTGTCCACTGGGTTGGAATCCACACTGAAGCCTGCAGGCAGCCCTCTTCCCTTCCAGCAAGCACGGCCGTGTCAGCGTCCTTCAGAGCCTTCCTCCAATCCCGAGGCCAGAGAAGCCAGCTTCTCGGATTCTCTGCTCTGCACACAGATGAAGTATGAGGGCAATTCAACGCGGATTCTAAACCACACAGCAGAGTGCCCCACCCCCTTTGTTGTCTAAACAACTCTCTTGTTTTGTGCATATGAACCTAACAGTGTGCTGGACTTCCCATTCTTCACAATGTTTTGTTGTGATCAACACAGCCGAATGCCTGTGGGTAATTCATAAACCACAAGTAAACCTCTTCCTGGTATTCTCTGCTGTCAGCCAAGAACCATCTGACGTGAGTCCTGCTATCCCTGGTACCGCGATGTCTTCTGAATCCGGCTTGAATTTCTGGCAGCTCCCTGTTATTGTGCCGGTGCGCCCATCTGTTGGTGAATTACCGTCAGCAAAATGCTGCTTGCCTGTGATATTAATGATATTGTTTGCTAATTCCCACATCCTGTTAGGTCAATTACCTATGAATTCTGAAAACCACAGGAACGGTTGCCATTCATAACCCGGGGATGGCCTGTACTCAGTAATCAATATGAACGAGCTTCTAAATGTTGAAGGGAAATAATCCGTTATCTTCTCATTCCAATTCTCCATGAGCTTGTTGTAGCCCCCTCGTGTGTGGCTAATGGCTACTGCATCGAACGGCATACGATGAAGACGAAGGGTCTTTGGGGTGGCCTAAATTTGGCGAGACATAAAAGTAATGAGTTTTCATATATGACTTAAAGCTAGTATTTGAGCCTTAATATTACAAAATAACTGGAAATGGTAAACGCATGTACATACAGCATCTAGTTCTAACCTGCACTAACCAGTCACTCACAACCGCGGCGCCTGAGAACAGGGCTGCCACGGTGCTTTCTGTGCATTTTGGGAGGGTGCGGGGGATGCAGACCGGGGGCTGCTGGGCCAGGAGGCTGTTCTGGAACAAGCTCAGCAGTGGCCCGCGGGAGGGCGATAGACGCGAGGGGACAGCACAGCCACCTGACATGGAGGCTGGAAATCAGGTCACGTCCACCTCCCAACGGTGCTGCCCCCTCCAGAGAAGGCAGCCTGCACGGGCAGGAACCAGCGCAGAGGGCGTCAGGGCAGGTCTTGAGCGGGCTGGGAGAGGCCGAGTCTGCACTGAAGACCAGTGACCGGGAAATGCAGAGTGAAGGGGCAGCCACAGCCTGCTGTTGGGGGAACAGACAGAAAGTGAGCCCAGGGCCTTAAAGGCAGCCCCGGGGCAGTCGGGTTGGGAGTGGGCTTCTTCGGGTATTCTCTTGAAAGTGCAGTTAAAAAAAATTGCTTTTGAAGCCACACATATCTTCCTTCCACAAATACTCTGGTCACTGTCCGGGGAACATATGTACATGCACATGCGGCGTACACACACACACACACACTCAGGGGCCCCTTGCAGGAGCAAATGCCCATGGCTTCCCTGTGAGGGTGAACTGACGTCCAGACAGGAGCTCAGGAAATGTTTGGATGGCATTGAAGAGTGTGCTTCCAGAGTGGCGACCCAAAGCCCATCCGTAGACAATTGGACATCCCCTCACAGAAGGGTCACAAGGAAGAGCCAGTCGGTGCAGTACAGCACCGATGAAACATACAACTTTCCTCTAGTTCTTTAATGATTCCTTTCCCCACACACACACACTATGATGACCCCAATTCTACTATTAGGTTTGCCGCTAAGATAAACCAAGGCCAGTCCAGAGAGAAGAAGTTTATTCTGCGCTCCTGGGCGAGATTCCCGGGTTCCAGCAAGGAGCCGGTAAGTCGTGCTTCCGGGGAGGGAGGGGAGATCAGAGAAAGGAACGGGAGCCCTGAGCTGGGGGCCGGAGAAGGCGCGCCCATCTGTAGTGGACAGCAAGCTTTTAAGCTGTTCAGGAGGGTAAACAAGAAGGGAGAGGGCAGGAGCTGCCGCTGCGGGGGCTTAAGCCGTCTCCATCCCTGAAATTCGAGGTGGGGTGTTGTCTTGATCATTCCCGGCCAGGAGATGGCTCACTGTCCGGGAGCCCTTTTGAAGCTAGCCATCTCATCCAATAGGGGCAGGGCAGGCTGTTCCTAATGCCCCAGACCTGTACCTGACTCATCTACCTTACAAACCTGGCTAGACCAGAGGATGGACACTGGTACAGACAGGAACTAGAAACACAGGGAATCCAGGACAGATGATCCCTTCAGGACCAGCAGTGAGAGTGGCGATACAGGAAGGGTGGAGGGAGGGTGGGGTGGAAAGGGAGAACTGATCACAAGGATCTACATATAACCGCCTCCCAGGGGGATGGACAACAGAAAAGTGGGTGAAGGGAGACATCAGTCAGTGTAAGACATGAAAAAATAATAATAATTTATAAATTATCAAGGGTTCATGAGGGAGGAAGGGAGGGGGGGGGGAATAAGGACCTGATACTAAGGGCTCAAGAATAAAGAAAATGTTTTAAGAGTGATGATGGCAACATACATACAAATGTGCTTGACACAATGCATGTGTGGATAGATTATGTTGTAAGAGCTGTGCGAGCCCCCAGTAAAATGATTAGAAAAAAAAGAGGGATGTTAGGGCAAATAAGTTCGGGAATTCATGTTTTCAACTGTTGAATTCCAAGTTGCTGGTGTGAAATGTAAACCCCCACCTACAATAAAAAACTGGCGACAAATGAAGAGAGAAGAGTGTGCTTCCTTCTTTGAGACGACGCCCCGAGGGGAAGACCGGGGTCCTTTGGAGGAAGTGGGTGCTTAGGAGAAGACACGGGGCTGAGACGCAGGGAGGGGCGTTGACCGAGGTGATGGAAAATGATCAGAACAAGGGCTCTCAGAAGCTCTTCTTTGCAGAAAGGAGCTGCCCTGGAGCAGCGTGAGGCCTGCTCAGCTCTGAGGGACCCTGGGGCTCCATGTGGCACCAGCCTCCCAGGTGGGATCCAGCCGCTAGAGGTACCGGGGGTTGGGGGTGGGAAACCAGGAGAGAGAGGGCTTCTCTAGGGGCTGTCTCCCCAACGAGGGCACAAAGAGGTCCCAAGCACCGCAGCGCAGGCAACGTCCTGTGCCGGTTACAGACCCCGGCTCGGAGGAGGTCTGCTGGTCAGGACAGCCAGAGAGGGCCACAGGACACCTCCAGGGGCAGCTGGCGTGCCAGACCCCCTGCTAGGAGTCCAGGGTCGGTACTGGTCACGCACGGACAGTGGGACCGAGCAGTGGAAGAGACTGGTCAGGGAGGGGGGGTAACGCCGCAGGGGAGCGAGGAGCCTCAGCAGCGAGCAGGGCCGTGGGTGGCACCCACCCCGGGAGCATGAGGGTCCGGAGAGCATGGCGGCAGGGGCTGAGTCCCTGTCCCTTCTGCACAGTGTGCAGCTGGTGATCCTTCCGGGCCGCCTCCCCCGCCCCGGCCTGAACGCCCTCATGTGGTGGCTTCATTTGCTTTAAGGGGCGAGAAGTCAGCAAAAGCCAGTCTGAGAGAAACGTGGAAGGCGCTCCGGGACAACAGAGCAACACTGCACTCACCGCCATGCGGAGAAGGCTAGTGGGTGGTTACCATCTGCGTCAGCATCTCATCTCCTCCCGGCCGTCTTAAAGTCTGTCCCCTCCATAGCCAGGCCCATCTCTGTGGTGCTGACAGGGGATGCTGGGGGCCGTTTTCCCATCACCCTCTCAATGACTGACAAGGGAGGGCCAGGCACCAGGGGCTCAGCGTCTGGCCGGAGCAGAGGCCGAGGCCGCGGGGAACGCTGTCAGCGTCCAGGGGAAACAGCACCCAGCCACACACTGCCAAACAATTGGTTTCATTTTATTTCAAAATTGTACAAAATGGCCCTAAGCTGCTATAAAAAAAGCGCGGTCTCCAGCACATGTGTAAAATCAGAGACAGCGAAAGCAGGTCCTCATTCACAGTGTAACGGAAAAGCTGCCTCCGAGTCATAGCTCCTCCTTCTTCTTCCCCAGCCGCTCCTGGTCTCCCTCTCGGAGGGTTCGAATGAAATTGGTAAATCCCAATTCCTGAAGAGAGGGGGGGGAAGGCGGTTGGAAAGGAAGGGAAAGGGTCTTGAGGCTCAGGCAGGGGCAGGCACCCTCCCCTCCCTCCCTGCCATGCCCCCTCTGGACAGCCCACGTGACCATCACCAGACTGGGGGGGCAGGACACAGCCACAAACCCCGCGGTGCCAGGGCAGCCTGAGCAGCAGGTGAAGGGGCACTCACAAACCCGGGACCCCTGTGAGACCCAGAGCTGTGCTCGCAGGTCTCCCTGCCCCTGCCCCCTCAGGGACTGCTTCCCCACACACCGCAGGGCAGCCGGGGCGGCGGCCTGCCCACACTCACCGTCCGCTCGCTGCCGTACTGCTCCACGAGCTTGCCGTAGTGGTAGTAGTGGAACGTGGGGTAGGCCTTGACGGCTTCCTGCTCACACAGGCCCTGGTTCTTGTCTCTGACGCAGTCAACGGCAGCACAGGCAATCTACGGGCCGAGGAGAGTCAGCAAGGGGTCTCCAGGCCGGACCCCTCGGCACACAGCCAGTGTCCCAGCCCAGCCTTCCCGGGTCTTCTCCCCAGGAGCTGGGAGTGATCTCTACGAAGCATCCGCAGCACAGAGCACCCTCAAGGCCGAAGATGCCCGCTCTCGCTCCCCAAGCCAACAGGGCCAGTTACAGAACTCGGCGTGGCGGCCCTCGGCCTGCCCTTGAACATCGGAGAGTGACGACCATGAAAAGGAAAGGCCGCTTGGAAGTGCCTGTCAGGAGGCTTTCTGCGGAGGCCCTGCGGGTTCCCACACGTATCAATATCCATTGAGCCACGGATCAATATTTGAATTCAATTCTGCCTGAGCACCTGGGCCTGGCCACCTCCTAAGGCTTAAGGAAAACCGGCTCCGATTCTCGGAGCCTCAGCCGCCTGAGCTGTACAGCGGGGAGGAGCGCAGCAGCGAGGCCAAGACCTAGTTAAGCAGTTAGCTCGGGCTCTGGTGCACGGTGGCCTGTGGGGCGGCAGCAACTGCCAGCTGCTGTCATGACCACTCCTCCTCCTGGACCGATCTCCACCCCAAGGCGAAAGCTCATCCAGACAGGGCACGACCATGCACTAATGGCCTGCAGTGCTTGTGTGCCCGCCCGCCCGCTGTCGGTGAGGAGAGCCTAACTCCTGCTCAGGAGGAGGCTTGAGAATAGGGTTCCGTCAGGGCGGGCAGTCCGTGTGGGGGGAGGGGCAGCCCAGACACGGAGACACCGACGACGATGATGATGATGACGAAGACGACGGAGCCCACGCTCATTGGGGAAGGGAGATGCCGCACGAAAGGACACCCACCCCCACCAACAGAGAGTGTGCGCCTTCCCACAGAGCAGGCACCTCAACTACGAGGGAAGAAACCTCGTTTCTTTCCATGGGATATAGAAAGGTTATGCCAAACCTAGGGTGCTGCTTGCTAATACATGGTCAATGGCTATAAGCTTGGAGGTCAACGGCTTAAGGGTCATCTCCCTGAGGGGTATCAGCCTTCTAGAGCAATCACACCCTATAGTCTGTCCCACCCTAGGTGGGCCCCACTCCCTTCTGATAAGGATAGTGGACTGTTTCCCTGAAGGAGAGCCCAGACGCAAGGTCAAGCCCACTCAGGGAGGATCAAGCATAGGCTGCCACTTTGACTTTAGAGTCTGCCCACCTTGTCATATGGAAACAACCAGTGCCTCCCCTTCCTATTGCGTGCACACCCCTATCTTGTCCCCTTGTACGCCTATGGTACAACCCCTTCCTGCTACAATGGACTTAGGGGGGCTCGCACATCCCCCAAGTGTATATAAGCCTGGGTTGGAAATATATTTGAGCGCTCTGCGCTGTTGAGATCATGGCCGTCCCGGAGGTGAGCGACTGCATGCCTTATCTTGTCTGATGTCTCTTTAATTTTACCCCTCAGTCACACACCCGCCCCTTGGGCCCTCCGGTTGCCGGGGCTGGCACCCCACATCTTTCAGGTTGCTGAAACGATTGAGAGGGCGGTGCACCCTCCTGCTGTACTAAGGGTCGCTCAACGGGGAGCAGGAAGTGACAGCAGCAGTTGGAAAATAAGGTGCCCACCTTGTGCTCCAGGTGAGGGTGCAGGGCTAGTGTTTTGTGAGCCAGGGGTCAGAAGGCAGCACCAGCTAAGGCCCTCCTCCTGCTGGCTACGGTGGGCTCCTGCCCCCATCCCTTACATAACAGCCTGTAAAAGCAGCACTTTAGAGCAGAGTCTGCAAACTGGCTGCACACAGCCCCTCGCTGGCTCCCAGTCCTGCTCTAGTTGGCCCACAGAGAATTAACACAGAAAAACACAAAACCCCACAAAATGGAATCAGCTGCCAACACAGGACAGGGGGGCAAAAAAAAGCCGGGAGATTTTCTATTCCAGCTTGTCTTCCCAGCCTCTCCGTCAACGTGAGTGGCTGGCGCGGGTCCTGCATCCCCATGGGCAGCACTGGCTGCAGCGAGGGCAACAGACGCCTCCTGCAGGCTGCCCCTGGCAAAGGCACAGCGCTTACCCACAGGGGCTTCTGAGAGCCCCCCCCCTCCTTGCTCAGCTTCCAGAGCACTTCCTGAATGACTGTCCCTGGAGGGGCCGGCTCAGGGGTGAGGGCACAGCGGGCACTGCCTGCCTCCATACCCCGTCTGCCACCCGCCAAAGTGTTTGATGAGCATCGCTCCGGGCTGCTGCTCCTCCTGCATCCACTTTAAATTATGAATTTAATTTGTACACATGCCCCAGAGCGGTTGGCAACGGCAACATGTATGGTTTTATAAATCCACTGAATTAAAAAATGTGTACTTATTCTGAGTCGCCCCATCTAGCTGCCAGCCACACACTCAGAAGGCTACCTTCAGAAGGCTGTGCACCCCTCAGCTGCTACAGAGAGGGGGACAAAAGGTTTCTCAATGCTGAGGGGAGTGGACCTCGGTGCATGGGAGCCCAGGAAGCAAAGAAACCCCTTCTCCTCGATGCCGACGCCTGTACCCCCCACCCCCCAGGTGCCAGCCCATCACACCCACTCGAGAGCTGTGCTGACCATGCCCTCTGACCCCCGAGTCCAGCCCCTCCCTATAACTTCTAGCTGGGCGCCGGCTCCTTCTGCAGACCTGATTCCGTCTCAAGGCCGCCCTATAGAAAAGAGGGGGGCTGCCCCCAGGGCTTTGGAGGCTGCGATCCTTACCAAAAAGCAAGCTCTGTGCTCCCGGTCAGAGCACACTGCCAGCCTTCCCCTCGGCCACCTTGCGTTCAAGCTGGGCCCCCTGGCAAGCACGTGCTGTGGGTGCCCTGTCTGTGTCCCCTCTGGCAGCACTTGCCACCAGCATGGCATGGGCTCCTCCTGTCTGAGGGTTTCCCTCCAGCCTTCACTGAAGGGGCCACAATGGGTCTCTTGACCTTTGAAAGGGACAGATCTATGGCTCCCTTCCTAGTGAGGTCCCTCAGCCCCGCATTGACCCATCCCCCCATCCCACTTCCTCCATCCCTGCAGTGGGGTGCTGGCTCAGCTGGTCTCAAAGCCACCCTCAGATGCCACCTGCTCATGCAATTCTGAGTCTGTTCCTCGCCAGCCAGCGGCATGACTCTGGGCTAGTCATTTCACCAGGGAGTCCGCATCCGCCCGTGAGGTGAGGCAGGGATGGCGCGCACGGGTGATAGGTGGTACTGTGGACCCGGCATAAGGCTTCTAAAGCCTCCGTGTGAGGACACCAGTCAGTGCCAAACCTGCCATCTGGCACCACCACAGTGCTCTGACATGTCACAAGGAGCCTCTGGGTGGCAGTGCCATGTGCGTCGGTCAGAAGGCAGGCTTGGCACAGCTTCTGGAAGGCCCCAGCCCTGAGGACCCTGTGGAGCGACTCTGCTCTGCCCGTGTGGGGTCACTGTGAGCTGGTGCCGGCTCCGTGGCGGCTCCCTCCTCGCCCCCAAACGTCTATAACAGCAAGGTGTCCTGAGAGTCCCTAAAGGTACAAACAGTGGTAGGTACATCATCCGTTGCCAGCTACAGACTATTAAGAGTGAAGGGGTGGAGTTTAGCCTGTCAATCAGGTCGCAGCTTGATGACCTCGTTTGGAGATGCTAAGGAGATGAACAGCTTGCTGGAGGTGGGACACACACTCCCTTCCAGACATTACTGACGACAACCAGCCTGATGGAGCTGCGCTGATGCAGCAGAACCACATGGAGACCCTTGCCAGTGCTGAGATGCTTACACTGCCACTGGATCCACAAGACTTCCCACCCACTGGCCTGTGATCTTCCTGCATTCAGCATCATTGCCTGCAAGGACTTCATAGATTGGTATCGGACATACGGGCTAATATCGGACTTATGGACTTGATCTGGGCTGGGCTGTTTTCTCAATATTCAATTGCTCTTGTATATAAACCTTTCTTACACACGTGAGTGTCTATGGATTTGTTCCTCTAGTCAACCTGGACTCACACACTGGGCAAAGCTGGATGGAGAAGCTGCCATTCTGAATCCACCCATCGTGCCACGGAAGAAAGGCCTGGCAGTCTACTCTGGAGAAACCTGCCACCGGAAGCCCTCAGGGAGCACAGTTCTGCTCCGACACACAGGGCCACCCTGAGGCTGGTTTGACCCGAGGGCAGCTGGCAGGGGTCGGGACTGTGGTCAGTTCAGAGGCATGACGTCCCTGCTCTCAGGTCCCTGAGGGGCAACTGATCTTAGAAACACAGCACGGCCAGGGCTATCACCAGGGCCACAGCGGGGCAAGCCCAGGAGGGCGCCCGGGGCCTCCAGCTTCACTCCCGATGACCTCTGAGGACATCTGGTCAAGAGCTGCACCACTGCCCGGCCCTGGGCTGGGGACAAGCCGCCCCCCACCCCCCCAGCTGTCACCTGCCCCTGCTAGGCCAGCCTCCCACCACAGACCCTTAACTTCAGGTCCCCTTCAGGGACACCATCCATTCCAACCCTGACCCTTTCCCACTTGGTGTGTCAATGGACAAAGTCCCCAGGTGAGCTCCCGGGAGGGGCTGGAGGCTCCCCAGCTGAAATATGAGTGGCCTCACACAGCTTTATTGATTCAGGAAAATAAATCTCTGCAGGAGCTAATATTGACTCTGGCTATGAAAATGGGAGGCGAACAACCACGTGCATATTGATCGGGGAAGGAGCAGGGGACTCTTTCTGGATGGACAAAAATACAACTCTAGCTCAGCAGTGGCGGCAGCAGTGGCAGCAGCAGGGGGAGGGGGGGAAGTGGGGGGGGGGGGGGGGGGAGGGGGGGGGGGGAGGGCGACAAACCCCGTTCTGGCTGTCAGTGAGCTGCTGGGCAGCCTTGGGTGAGGGGCATGGCCTCTCTGGGTCAGACGCTTCCTGCATACATGGAGAGGGAGAGCAGACCTCACACCCCGCTGCCCCCTCCACCCCAAGCCTCGGTCTGGAGCCGCTACCAGATGGCCGCAGGAACCTCAGCACCCTGCCCGGAGCGGGCCCAGTCACACAGGCCCCTGAGGTGGCTAAGCCAGGGAAGGATGCGATGGCTCCGGGGGTCGGCAGGCCTGCCGAGCCATGACCAAGGTCAGCCTCCAGAGAGGAATCAGGGCGTACGCTGGGGAGAAAGCACCAGTACGTCCTGGCTGGAGGACAGGACTCTGGAAGGAGAGACCGAGAGAGTAAAAAAGGCAGATCGGCAACGCTGCCGGTCCAAGCTAAGGCAGTCGGCTAAGGCGCGTGCGTCTGGAGAGGAGGGAGGTTGTGCCTCCCAGCACACACCCCTGGGTGCAGACGGTTAAGCTCCCAGCTACCCGCCAACAGGCTGACGCCCCCAGAGGTGTCCAGGAGGAAAGGCTGGGCAGCCTGCAGCTGAGCAGAGGGTGCAGGTGACTGCCACCACGGATCATCATGAACCGGAAATGACCCCACAGCCGGTGCTCTGATCTTGATGCTGCTGCGTCAGGAGAGGGCTCCCCGCCCCATCCTGCAGTTAGTGGGGGCAAGGGTGGTGGTGGTGCAGAAACCACGTAAAATGCAGGCTGCTCCCATCAGGGCCCCCAGACAGCTGGGTCCCAGGGCCCATGCCAGGTCCCCAGCCCAGGCTCCACGTGACTGAGGGGCACCTTCAACATCACAGGCCTCCTTAGCTTGTAGAGACCTGGGTGTCCAGTGTGCAGGAAGCCCACCTCGCTTCAGCCCTCCTGCTGTCTGTCCAGAGCACTGTGTCTGCTGAGCGGTGGGGCTGCGAGTTGCTGAGAAGTGGCCACGATCCCAGCATAAGGACCGCTTACTGTGGAACCAACACCCACTGGTGGCACAGACCCGGTGTGGGTCTGCGTACAGCTGTGCCCCTCAGGTGCTTCAGTGGGTAGTCTGTCAGCACTAGATGGCCAGACCTCGTTCCTAGGCACCTCCGGGTAGACCTGAACCTCCCCAACTTTCCCGTCTGCAGTCCAGGCACCGTAAACTATTCACAGGATGGCAAAAGGTCTCCCTCAAACTAGCCCACTCTGCAAGCTGGGGCTCCCTGGACACAGGGCTGTGGCAGGAGCACTGGGGGTGGGAGACCCCCCTGGCCACCCTTTTCTGTGCAGCTCAAGGGACAGGGGGAGGAAACAATGTTTTTCTGGTCTCCATAGTCCCCCCTGGAGGGGATGAGGTGTGGGGGTGATGATGGGACTTCTTGAGTCCAGGGAAGGGTCCCAGAGGTCTGGGCATCCCTGGTTGTCTCTCACCCAGTGCGTCCAACTGGAACCACCCCGTTCTCCCAGGTCCCCTCTGCACCCGCAGGCCTGACCCCCTTCTGGCAACAACCGAAGCCCGGGCCAAGCCCTACCAAGCAGAAGGCATGAGCTCCCGCCATGAATTCTCACTCGCTCGCTGCCTACGGCTGCCCAGCCTCAGCAGAACCACTGCTCCTGCTGCCACCTGGCACCGCCCGGGGAAGATGCCAGCCAGGCTTTAAGAGACCACTTCACGTGACTCGGGGTCTGGCTCTGAGTGTGTGCGCGTGCCTATACGATTGTGGGTTGCTGGCCCCTTCTGTGAGAGGCCCCTGGAACCCCAGCCAGGAAGGGTCCTTGTGGGGCTGTAGACCAGCACCCCCAGCTTTTGCAGAGCCCTGTGATTTATCTACAGGTACTGAGCTCACTAGGAGACCCAGATCACACTCCCCAAGTTCAGGGTTCTGGCCCCTGGCCCCAACCCAGTCTTGGATCAGACCCACAGCTGGCTCTGGCCACCAGAGTGGCTGGCTATGCCCAGTGCCCGCTCGCCCTGCCCCCTCCAATCTAATCTGGGGCTCCGGCTTGTTAATTTTATGCTCCATCAGTCGGCAGCTGCAGGAGGCTGCTCTCCTCCAGCACGGCCCCTTCCAGCTGCCTTTGCTTGGATCCTTTCTTATTTGTATCTTTAATTATATCGGTAATGCATGGCTACAGTCTTACTGTAAAAAGGCCCAAGCACTAAATAAACAAGCAGGTGACCCCCATCTTCCAGGCCCCTCCTCCAAGTCGGCGCTGCCCCTGCCAGTTGCTTTTGCAGCATGAGCCCCTGCCCACTTCATCTTATGCCTGAAGGGGACCCGGAGGGGAGGGGCACGTGGTAGGATGGGTGGCAGGTGGGGAGGGGCGTCCTCACCTTCCGGTCGTCTTTGAAGACATCAGCGGTGGCAGTAAAGTGCGGAATGACCTTCTTACAGTGTGGGCACCCTGCAGACGGGAGGAGAGAAGACACGGGTGGAGTGAGCGGTGAACCTCGGATGGAGGTGGCAGGCCCGGGGTCACTTCCTGAGCCTGTCCCCCACCACACAGACCTCGGGGCCTCCTCTCTCACTGTCCCCACCTCTGCCAGGCTTGGCCTCCTTTTGGCTACAACCAAAGCCCCTGAACCATGAGGGTGGAGGGTGGGGGCAGCCCCTTCCACAGTGCGCTGCCCTTGGGGCTAGAGGCGCCTGGCTCTGACCCACAGAGAAGAGCTTTGGGCTAAAAACGGAAGAGAGTCTCCAAGGCTGCTCTAAACCTCACTTCTCTTGTCAAAGGAGTCCTGGTGATATAGCCGGTAGTGGCTTGGTTACGTGTTGGGCTGCTGACTTTAAGGTCGGTGGTTCAAGACCACCAGCCGCTGCTGGGGAGAAAGAGGAGGCTTCCTGCTCCCGTAAGGAGACGGGGTCTTGGAAAACACAGGGTCCGTTCTGCTCCGTCACTGAAAGCTGGAATCAACTCGCTGGCAGTGAGTTTGCTTTGGCTTTCTCCTGTCAAAGGACAGCCTCGCAGAGCAGAAGGGACTGGGGAAGGCTGGGGAGACTGGGCGGCGGCAGCCACCCTCCGGGGCCTCCACTGCTTATGCCCACCCTGGCCTGGTTCTCACAGTCTGTCTACCCTCGGTCCGTCGTCGGGTCCCGCAGCCAGAGACCCCAGGCACCCAGGCCAAGATGAAGCAGTGTTACAGGGAGGCCCTGAGGCTGCACCTGGGCCGAGGTTCCTGCCAGAGGGGACGAGGGCGTCACTGCCCATCCCGACACCTGTCTCTCCCATACTGTGCATCGCCCCGAGCCCTCCCAGCATAGGGCCGGGACCTACTCAAGGATCCCGCCTCAGCCCTGGCCACTTCTGGCTTGGCCATTCCTCACATACCTCAGAGCACAAATGGCCGTGAGAACAGAGGTGCTCTGGAGGGGGCTGTCCCTGGTCTGTAAATAACGCTGGCAAGAGACACAGGTGGGGAATGCCCGAGCCCTCTGGGGAGAGCTGGCCCACCCACTGTCCCGAGGCTCCCGGCTAGCACGGCGGGATGGCTCCGCTCCTCTACCTTCACTCTATATAATGTGACCAGCACTTGTAGGTGTTTCGTGGAACCAAATTCAGGCTAAGCCACCACTCGCCTCTGAACACAGCCCCTTGAACTGGCTCCTATGTGACACAGGTGCGACCCGGGGGCCCCAGGAATTTCCCCGATATTAGAGGCCAGAGATGTGGCCTGTCATGGGACTCGTATGCCAGGACTACGTGGGACAAAACCTGACTCTGCCGTGATGTCTCATCAAATGGGGCTCGCAGGGATGCAGCAGGATGCAGCCCAGCTTCTCCTGGGGGTTTCTCAGGCTGCATGTCTCCATGGAAGCAGGAAGTCTCATCTCACGCCTACAGGGAAGCTGGCGGACTTGAACCGCAACCCCTCGATTCACAGACTCAAGCTTAATCATTGCTCCACCAGGCTTCCGTAACGAGGTAGCCCAAACCCAAACCCAGGAAGATCAAGTGGCTTCTAACCCACAGCAACCCTACGTAGGATTCCCGAGGCTGTAAGTCCTCATGGGCACGGCCGGTCTCATCTTTCTCCCTCGGAGCTGCTGGTGGGCTGGAACTGATGGCCTTGTGGTTAGCAGCCAACATGTACCTCCGCACCTGACTGTGTCACCAGGACTCGGACAATGAGCTGAGTGCCTCACAGATCCTAAATCACTGCAGCTGACTGGGAAAATGAAGGTTTTAAGGATTTTAATTTTAATATCAATTACGAGTTACACTTCTCAAATTTGACCTAGCAGAGGAAAAGACCAATTCAAATGCATAACAACTTCCTATTATAAAGGAATGAAGTGATATAAATCACAGAGTTATTTTGAAAGCTGGGCCTTCTGGCTAACAAGGCATGTCAAAGGCAATCGGGCAGCCCCATCCATGGAGCAGGAGGAGGCCCCAGGCTCCTAGGAAAATAAGCTTCCTCTCCCCAGAACCCGGTTTCACGACTAACTGATCCTTTGTAACCACTTTGCTCGTCCAAGTATCAAGGTAAAGGTCGGCCTGTTTCAATGTAAGGCACCCAGGCCACCGATGAAGGGTGACATCTCATTTTCCCACCAGTCCCGAGCAAGTGCCCCAGAGATGGAGAACTGGGGGAAAGGCTGCGTGAGAAAGTGGGTGATGTTCCCCAGAGGATCAGGGGGCTCAGGAGGCAGGGCTCTTAGGACAGCAGCGCCTGTGACAGCAGGAAATCAAAGACATCCGAGAAGAGCAGTCGCCCAGTGCTGGGAAAGGGCGCCTGACAGGAGCGAGCAGAGAAAGGCAGGGAGACTGTGGGGGGAGAGGGAGCCAGCCGGGGGCAAGTGACAACAAATTTCCGATATGAAAATCGCAATAATTTATCAAGGGCTCACCAGGGTGGGAGAGTGGGGGAGGGAGGGGACAAAGAGGAGCGGGTACCAAGGGCTCAAGTGGAAAGAAGATGTTTTGAAAAGGATGATGGCAACATATGTGCAAATGCTCGATGCACTGGACGTGTGGGTTGTGATAAGAGCCGTAAGGGTCCCCAATGAAATGACAAAATAAATAAAGATGGGTGAGAGGTGATGCACTAAGCTAATAAAAGGACCCACAAAAGCAAAACAAATAAGTAATATCCACAGATTTTTTGAAGTTCCTGTGTATATTTAGTATACATTCTTTTCATCACTGAAAGAACTTAACATGATGGATTCCCTGGTCCTTGGAGAGTCCACTGTCCCTCTCCACTCCGCCCCCTTAGCCCACTGGAGATGGTATAGTCCTCAGGAGGGCTGGGCTGGGCAGGGCTGGGGGGTGTGGGAAGTAGGGGGCAGGCAAGGGCAGTCGGGGAGCCGGGGGAGGCTCAAGGGATCCAGCCCCCAGCCAGGAGCAGAGCTGCACACATTACAGGCACAGGGGACATCAGAAAGGTTGAGAAAACGGAATGGGAAGGGAAGGGGCATTTCCCACCAACTTTTTGAAGGCCCTTTGCATACACTGTTTCACGTGTTTGTAGTCATAAAGGTTTGCTTTTTAAAGGATAAGCAGCTTTCGCTTAGTTCTTTCCTTTCCCCCAGCCCCTTGATGGTTTTAAATGACCCAGACCTACACACGCGCAGCCCTGGACAAGAGGTAGGATACAAGTAGGTGAGGCAGAGGACATGGCTCTGAGCAGACTTCTGGGGTTTGTCTGGGGGGGTAGGGGAGAAGCTCCTCCCTGCTTCCCCTCTCCCGCTTCCAGCTCAGCCAGCCCGGTGGGGGAGCACCTCGGGGAGGCGGGTCCCTGGAAGGCTTCCATACGGTGCTCGCACAATAGCCCACTGCACAGAACGTATCGTGGACACTCAGCACTTCCCCAGTGTCCCGGGGCGCAGGGCCCCACAGCCCAGAGCCGTCCTGCGGTGAAGGGAGCAAGGAGGCCGTTGGTGTCAGGAGGAGCACCCACGGCAGTGAGTGGGTAAATCCCCCTCCTCCATGGCTTGCTCTACATTTGACCTCATGTGCCAACAGCCGCCTCGACTTTCTTCCTGGGTGCAGTTGCTGGGTTCAAACTGCTGACTTGAGGAACTAGCAGCTGAGCGCTTCACCCCCGCACCACCAGGGCTCCTTACCTTCCTGGAAGGAGACGGCATGAACGGAGGCGGCCCAGCCCTTCTCTCCAGGGCGGGAGGATGGGAAGGAGTGGACAGTTTTTTTTAAGATACGAATGTCACAGCACACCTCCCTCCTTACCGACCGCAATGGCGACTACTCCTTGCTGCCCTGGCCACCTCTCTAGCAGACTCTGCGGTGCATCGCACTCTGGGAGCGTGGATTCCACACTACAACGCCGCTCTCCCTTCTGGTTTTCCACACAGACCATTTCCGGGTTGGGAGACTGTGTGAGGAATAAGGTTCCCCCAACGCCAGCCCCTCCGGCATGGTAAGGATGCGCACCTCAGATTTCCTGGAGGTGTGGGGACCTGGCAGTGGGGCCTCAAAAGGAATGTGCCAAAGAGAACTGGAGGGAGGCAATGCCGGGGCTCATCCTGGGTGTCCAGGAGTAGCGGGGCATCTCTGAGGGAAGGTGGGGTCAAGGACCCCTAATAACTGGCCTCTATCTGCTGCTGAAAGAATACTGAACCGCTGCATCCTGCGTGCGACAGAGATAGATAGACAGACAGATAGGCAGGCAGGCAGACAGACAGATTGGCAGACAGAGAGATAGACAGACAGACAGATGAACAGATGCCCGCTCTGCTCTGGAGGGAGGACACAGTGCCACCTTGCTGAGTGCCTCACACAGCCACAGAGGAAGAAGCTAATGTCTTAGGAGCCACTCCGTCTTCCAGGGACACCCACCCTGAGGACAGAGGGAGCCTCTGCGAGGAACTAAGAGAACAAGTGGCACCCAGAGAGGCGGTGGCGGGGACAGGGGTTGGCGCTGGCTGGGTAAACACAGCGGCCCAGCGGGACACAGCCTGAGCCCGGCACTGTGGGGGCTCAGCAGGCGGCCCCTCCTGAGGGTGAAGCGGGAAGGGACACTGCAGATCACTGGCACTTGGAAAGCAGGGGCAGGAGGGTTGGCTACAACCCAGTGGGTTTACGACTGGATTGGGCTGCCCAGCTCCTCAGCAGACCTGGCTTTTATTACCCTCAGTCCATTAGGCTGAGCTGCACCCTGGGGTTGGGGGGTGGGGGTGGGGGAGAGAAGGGCAGCCGCAGAGTGGGAAATTCTAAGAACTGTGCCTTTTAAGTATCAATTAACAGCCCCAAAACAGGAATATGCAAAAACCCATGGTCACAAGAGCCCTATGAGGGGTGTTGGCAGCAGTGCCAGCCACTCCCTCAAATTAAGCCTTGATTAAAAGGAGATTCACACTGGCTCCTGGGAGAGAGAGAGAGAGAGAGAGAGAGAGAGAGAGAGAGAGAGAGAGATGACAAGAGTGGGCAGGGCCGCATAACACCTTCAAGGCCACTCAGGAAGGCTGGGGAGGGGCAGGGGTGGGGTGCTCAGAAGACTGAGCTGTCAGTGGGTGGGTGGGCCAGGTTCTGGGCTCCTGGGGGAAGTGAGGGAACTGAGTGGCAGGAAGGAAGCCGGGGCCTGGGGGAGGCTGGCCGAGGGGACGAGCCCAGGGGCGCGAGGAGGTGGACAGCCTCTCTCTAAAGTGAGGAGAGGGCCTCCTCCTCTCCTGGCAGGACTGAGAAAAGGCCCCCAGCCTGGAGGGAAAAGCAGCAGAGGACCCCGGACACGGAGTGACCCCCCTGCCCTGGTCCCCAAGGGGATCTTCCGGCTTCAGTCTGCTTGATCCCTCTGACCTCACCGCTCAGCGTTCACGGACGAGCTACTTACAAGGGGCGTAGAACATGACCAAAGTGTGCTTCTTCTTCTTCAGCGTCTCCCGGAAGTTGTCCCCCAGCAGGTGCAGCACGCTGGTGTGCTGCTCTTCCCACGTGGGCTCCGGGGGTGGGGGAGCCTCGGGGCTGCGGGGAAGCAGGGGCTGTCACGTATGCGCTCCCTGCACCCCCGCATCCCCCAGGAGCACACAGAGAGACCACTTTGCACCCCTTCTCAGAAGTCACCGTAACACTTGGTTTGGACATAGGCAGATCCATCACCATCCCCGGAGAAGATGTTCCGATTCCCTCTGCGGGGCCCACTAACGAGTCACGCTGTGAAGATGTGGAAGACCCACTCCTCAAGGGTCCTCCTCTATGGGGCTTGTGCTCCCCGCCCGCCCTGCCCCCCACCTTCAGGGCTCTCCCAGGGGCTCTATTCCAGGGCTTTCCTGGGGGTGTGTGGACATGGTTGAGGAGTGGGGTGAGCCGGGGCACCAATCCAGGTCACTCCCAGCTGTGTGAGCGTAGGTGTCCCTAAAGCCCTCAGCGCCTCTGTGATCTGCTGTGTCCTGCAAGGATGATGGCAGCCGCTCTGGGGTCCTAGGCAGTGCCCGCACGCACACGCTAAGAAATGACAGATGCCCAGTCCTCATCCGGCATCTCTCCCTGATCTTGCCCTCGCTGCTGCCTCCACTGTCTCCCTTCTCTCTCTCTTTCCTTTCTCTGAGAAGTGTTTCGGGGAGCCGCCAGCGCCCAGCGGGCCCTGGGGGTCCTGCCTCTGGTGGAGGGCAGCAGTTTTGGGGAGTACTCTCTGCTGAGCACCTACAGCTTCCCATGTCTGCCCTAGCTTTGGGATGGGTCTCTCTCAATCCTCCAACGATCTGACCTATCTGCAGGGCTTCCACAACCGCTGAGGGTGGGGGCCATGCCCCTATTTCCAGGTTTCTGTTTCTGCCTGGAGGTCACGTTGCTGCCGGAAACCCAGTATGACTTTGAACACACCCACTGCCTCGCGCTCAAGCCAGCCTCCAACCCACCTTCTTTATTGGGGTGATCAGCACCCCTGCTCTTGTGACCTCCTCTTTTCTGTTCCCCATGGTTGACCCCATCTATTTGACCTTGCTGCCCCAGCCCACCCAAGCCCTGCCTCCCCAGGCTGGCCTCAGTCACCCACAGCTTGGCCTCCCGGGCCCACGTCGGAAACACTCCTTGGCCTCACCGGCACTGTCCCGCGCCCCAAGTCAGAGCCCTCTGTGTTTGGACTCCACGTGAGGAGCAGAGGGAGATGCTGCCTGTCTCTGGGCATGGCCCTGCCCCTCCGAGTTTCCTCAATGGAAAGAGGATAAAGCACTCTGCTCCCAGGGAAGGAAGTGGGGCGGCAGACACAGCTCTGCAGCCCCCGCCCCCCTCGCACTGTGCTCAGCGCTCTCCACTCCCTACGTAAGTCTAGACAGGAGCCCTGTGGCTTAGTGGTTTCCAGCTGGGCTGCTAACTGCAAGGTCAGCAGACGAGGCTCTCTATCCCCAAAGAGTGCCAGTCTCGGAAACTCGTAGGGGGCAGTTCTACCCTGTGCTATAGGTTGACCATGAGTTGGCATCGACTGGACAGCAGGGGGGTTGGAGCTTGACATGAGTCTTTGGAGAAAGCAGTCCTGTCTCCATCACACAGAGGGGACACGGGGGCTCAGCTGGAGGTCACCCGGGAGTGCAGGCCTCTCCGAAGCCTCAAGTGTGTGCTCTGAGCCCAGGCCCCTCCAGTCTCCTGGCAGCAGCAGCTGTGCCCAGATAGGAAGCGCTGGGACGCTCTGTGGGCATGCCCGTGCCCCGTCCCCATGACTGATGCTCCCCAAGCTCCTCTGTTCTCCGCCCACAACTCCGAGCACCTGGGCCCCCTGTTCCCCCGGGTGAGGCAGCCCTGTACCTGGTGTGGCTGGAGGAGTGTGTGTGAACACGATGCCGGCTTCAGGCTCCACAAGAACAAGGGATGAGGGGGTGCCCCGCCCTTTGAGGGGCAAGGGGTCCCCACTCCCCTGGGCAGTCAGACAAATGCCCGGCTACTGGCAAAGCCTTCCCCTGTGGGAGAAACTGGCCACCCATCTCTTACCAGAGGCTCCTCCTGAGCCCTGTAGGAACTTTGTGCCCGTTCTATAAGTGGGTGAGGGCCATTCGGGAACAGGGCATCAGGCAGGAGCCCTGGAAGCGGCCTCCTGCACAGACACCTCACGCCTGGTGGTGCCCGCCTGCAACCGAGGCTGAGGACCCACGGCCTAACCACGTAAACGGTCAGCGCCCCTGCCCTGCGTGGTGCCTTACAAGGGAATCTTTAGGCCCTGAGCCAGCGGCTGCTGCCCAGGCTGGCCTGCTGAGGATACACCGCTGAGTGTCCAGGTGAAGGGTGAGCGTGTGTACATGTGAGGGTGGGGGGCTAGAGATGGGCAGAAGTAGGAAAGAGGTTGCTCCACTGCACAGTGTGGGCTCTCTGCACCCCAGGAGCCCTCGCAGAGGAAGGGAGACTCTGATGTACTCGTCGGGACGGGGGCTTGGGCCAGTCATAGCAGGCTCCTCCTCGGTGCCCAGCCCCTGAGCAGAACCCGCCAGCCACTGGGGAAGCTGGGACCCAGAGCCTCATGGTGCTTGGAGGGGTGTTTGACTCACAGTGTGACCTTCTGGGTTGGGGGCTGGGGAGATTAGGATGAGGGTCCTTCACGGAAGAGGAGAGCCTGGCTGGCCGACAGCTGATGGGGCCTCATCAGAAAGGCCCCCAAGACCTGCTGGGAGAGGGTGTGGGGCCAGCACACCACAGGCACCGATAGGATTTAGGGACTCAAATCAGGCTCAGTTCCTGTGGGCCCTGAGCCAAGGGCCATCGGTTGATCTCCAGAGTGTCCAGTGGAGGCAGGCTGGGGGTTCCAAGGTGCCCTCGAGCCGGGGGCTTACTTGTGCATCCAGTCCACAAACATCTTCTTCGTCCTCAGCGAGGGCACCGCATGTTTCTCCCCGTCCTTGAAGAACTTGAGGGTGGGGAACTCGGAGATGTGGAACCTCTCTGCCAGGGCCTTGTTGGCGGTGGCGTCCACGGCTGCAAGGACACCAGGGCCCTGGGGGGGAGAAAGGCCAACCGTGCACGTCAGCCTCAGACGCAGCACTGACGTGCCCCCCCACCCACCCCGTGCCTGCTGCTGGGCCTGGGCATGGCGCAACACACACGCCCATTACTTCCCATCCAGGGGCTTTGAAACAGCCCCCCCCCCGCCCCCAACACAGGGGTGGCCCGGGGCCTGTTCTCACTGGCCACTGAAGACAAGCAAACAAACTGACCGCCACCAGTCGATTCTGCCTCCGTGACCCCAGAGGACGGGCAGCACAGCCCTTGGGGGCAAACCTTCCCGGGGGCTGGTTTTTCCATCAAGGAGAAGTCAGGGGAGTTGAACTGTTGACCTTGTGGCTGGCAACCCACCATGTAGCCACGCCACCAGGGCTTCCATGAGGGTCACAGCCCCAGAGGAAGGGGGGTGGGTACTACGGGGCTGAACCACGCCAGAGCCGAGCCGGCTGAGGCCCTCCGGGACGTGTGTGCCCGTGAGCTCGCGTCATACGGTCATACAAGGTGGTCAGGAAAGGGCACTTACGTCTGCTTCTCCATGGAGGACTTCCGCGGCGCTCTCAAACTCGGGCTTCATCTTCTTACAGTGTCCACACCCTGGGGGGACATCAAGAGAGGTCATCCCCAGGCCCTGGGGGCCCATCTCCCCCTCTTCCGGTCAGTGTACTAAATTCCCAGGCACTGAGTGCTGGGAGAAAATGGGAACAGGGGTCACCGGTGGGAGGGCAAGGGGCAAACGTGAAGTGGCAGACAAAGCTGGCTGCGAGCGGAGGTCAGCCAGGAGGCGCTGCGACGATGGAGCCGCCTTCAATGAGACGAAGCCGAGCGTGACGGAGAGAACTTGTCTGCAGCCGCCCACTGACTGCAGTCGTATTTAAACATCGTTTGCGTCTATGAACTGGAACTCCGCGGGCAAGACTTCCTGACTGAACCTGGTATGTGCAGACCCTGTGTTCTGCGCGCGGCAGCCCTACCACGTAGGAACGCTCCATTTCATAGGAGAGGAAACTGAGGCACAGACGAGGTAGGTGACAAGTCCCAGAGCAGGACACAAGCCCCAGCAACCTGGCTGGAGGCCGGCGCTTCGGGCAGGTTGTGTTACCAGCTCGGGCTGAGTGTGTGAACGATAACACAGCTGCTCTCACCAGGGGTGACTTTTCTGGGTCACCAGCAAGTCTGGGGCTTCGCACTGAGAAAGGGGCTTCCCTTGGGTCAGGATCGGTGTAAGCCCCTTCCACAGTGCCGCACAGAGCCTCATGACTCACTCGGGAGCTTCCGGGTCTAAAGGGAGCCCCTCAGGCTCCCCACCCGGTGAACTGTGGGGACGTCAAGGCCATCGCTGTTACGAGATAAAAGAGCACTTTTCCCCAAAGTCGGACACTGCAAAGGAAGACGGAAGAAGAATCCGCCTTTGACCGGCAGCGCTGGCGAAGGCCACTGAAGGGGCCGTGGACGGCCAAAAGACAAACATCTGTCTGGGGAGAAGGACAGCCAGAGTGCTCCTCAGAGGCAAGGCTGGCGACACTCGCCTTACATACTTTGGGTAGGTGGTCAGCAGAGACTAATCCCTGGAGCAGGAGGTCATGCTGGGCCAATGAGAAAGAGGAAGGCCTTCGACAAGATGGACTGATGCAGCTGGGGTCTTAAAGGCTTAAAGATAAGCAGCCATCTAGCTGAGAAGCAACAAAGACCACATGGAAGAATCACACCACCTATGTGATCATGAGGTGTCGATGGGATCAGGGATCAAGACCCAGAACAAAAAATCCTATCAATGGGAATGAGGAGAGTATAGACATCTGTAGACAACTGGACATCCCCTTCCATAAGGGTCACAAGGAAGAGTCAGGGTGCAGTACAGCACTGATGAAACATACAACCTTCCTCTAGTTCTTTAATGCCCCCCAATATCATGACCCCAATTTTACCTTATAAATCCAGCTAGACCACAGCATGTACATGGGTACAGATAAGAGCTCACAACACAGGGAATCCAGGACAGATGAACCCCTCAGGACCAGTAATGAGAATGGCGATACCAGAAGGGTAAGGGTAAGGCGGGATTGAAAGGGGGAACGGATCACAATGATCTACATATAACACCCTCCCTGGGGGGCAGACAACAGAAAAGTGGGTGAAGGCAGACATCGGTAAGTGTAAGATATGAAAAAATAATAATTTATAAATTATCAAGGGTTCGTGAGGGAGGGAGGGAAAAAAGATGAGCTGAAACCAAGGGCTCAAGTAGAAAGCAAATGCTTTAAGAATGATGATGCAACATACGTACAAATGTGCCTGACAATATGGATGGATGTGTGGATTGTGGTAAGAGCTGTACGAGCCCCAATAAAGTGATTTATTAAAACAAAAAGAGAGATGGCCTTCACGGAAGGGTTGAAGGGAGGAGGTGAGCCAGTCAGGGTGCAGTGTAGCAATGATGAAACATACAACTTTCCTCTAGTTCCTAAATGCTTCTTCCCACGGGCCACTATCATGATCCGAATTCTACCTTGCAAGTCTGGCTAGACCAGAGGATGTACACTGGTACAGATGGGAACTGGAAATCCGGGGAATCCAGGGTGGATGATCCCTTCAGGATGAGTGGTGTGAGTGGCAATACTGGGAGGGTAGAGGGAGAGTGGGTTGGAAAGAGGGAACCTATTACAAGGAACTATATGTGACCTCCTCCCTGGGAACGGACAACAGAAAAGTGGGTGAAGGGAGACTTCGGACGGTGTGGGACATGACAAAGGTAGTACTTTATAAATTATCTAGGGATCATGAGGGAGGGCGGGGCGGGAGAGGAGGGAAAAATGAGGCGCTGATGCCAGGGGCTTAGGTTAAAGCAGGACACCATTGACCCGGGGTGGTGGGGGGGGGTGTGTGTGTTCTTGATTAAAAATTCGTTTTATATGGACCAAATAGACTGTTCCCTAGCTTGTCGTGCATTCTTTCCAAAAATTGGGACTTTTTTAAAACGCCAAAATCGGGACTGTCCCGCCAAAAGTGGGACGTCTGGTCACCAAAGTTTAGGTGGAGAGCAAATGTTTTGAGAATGACGAGGGCAATGAATGTACAGATGTGCTTTACACAACTGATGTATGTATGGATTGTAGTAAAAGTTGTATGAGCACCTTATAAAATGTTTTTTTTTAAGTATATATATATAGGTATAAATATAGACATATATACATGTAGATAGGTGTATTTGACTATGTAAAAAAAAAGAGAGAGATGGATTGACGCGGTGGACGCAGGATGACACTGTAGCAGGATGACACTGTAGGGACGGCGCAGGACAGGCAGGGTCCCGCTGTCTAGGACACAAGGTGACTGCGTCAGAGTGGACCAGGTAGCACCGAACAACATGTCCTAGAAATGGACATTTCACGTGGGGACAGCCCAATCGCTGCTTTCAGGACCATCGGATCACAAAGGGGCCTTGGTTTTGCTTAGTGGGTTGGCTGGGACTGGAAATGAATTTCCCCCTGAAACAATTTTGTGGACACCAGTGACGCCCAGGGCCCCGGGGGCAGCCTGTGTGACAGAGAACGCCTGAAGCCCAGGCAGCCCCGTCCCAAGTGAGCAATGTGACCTGCATCCAGCTCAGGGCCCCACAGGCCTCAGAGGCAGCTCCTGCCCAGTGGCGGCTGCTCAGCGACAGAAACAAGTGGGAAGGGCAGCCATTGGGCAGCCGAGAGGGAGGAGGAGGTCAGCTCCGGGCAGAGCTTGGACCCTCTTGAGGAGTTTACAGAAAGTCTTGTCTCTTCCTTCCCAAGCTGATGCACGTGCCAATCCAGCGAGCCCCCACTTACAGTCCTCCTAGAACAGCCGCCTCGTTTCCCCTCCTGGGAGCGGCTGGGGGGTTTGTACCGAAGACGCTGTGGTTAGCAGCCTGACACTCAATCCACTGTGCCACTCAACCCACAGGGGGTCCAACCTCCGACGCTGGGGTGCGTAGACCCCCACGTGCGTTCATCCCTTCGGAGGGAGCCTGGTTTAGGAGGCCACGACCCAGGAGGGCTGCCCCCGCTGGTGCCCGGCTCCAGCCCTTCCCGCCACCCCCCTCCCCCCCGGCTGGATCCCAGTGGCTTTGCGTGAAATAGTCTGAGATTGTTATTATTGTTATCTCGCTGAAACGAGGAGGAGGAGGTCAGTGAGGAGGCGGGGTCGCTGGCAGGCTCCTACCTGGCCCACGACGGTGAGAAGGGCACACACCACACCCCCAGTTTGACACCCCTGGCACCCTGCTCTCACTCCAGGGCCTGGAGGGAGAGGGCCCACCTGCAAGCAGAGACTGAGAAAAGGGAGCTAAGAGCCAGTGGTGGGTCCCTCACCAGAGCCACGCAGGCTGCAGGAGGAAGTGGCTGTCCCCGGAGCACCCCGCCCCCTCTTGCTCCACATGAACGGTGCTGTGAGGCCAGCTGTGGGCAGGGCCCTCAGGCAGGACAAGGGTGGGGCTGGGGCGATGGGACAGAGAGAAGAGCCGCAGCTGTCCACGAAACATGGCCGTTTGTTTCCAGATGTCCCGGCCAGTGTGGTGAGACCCCGGAAGACGAAAGGACTCGCCCGCACTGCTATAGAGGTCTCCCATCGGGCCTCGCTCAGCCCCAGCGCACCGAGGTCACCGCCACCCCCTCTTCCCTGCCACCCCAACTCTGGTGGGCCCCCCGGGCTGCAGATCCCGATGTCCACTGGGGGCGGGGGCAGGCAGTGGGGTATCGGCCGGGTGTTTTGGCAGACCCTCCTGGCACTGCTCTAGGGCATCCAGCCCAGCCACAGCTCTCTCCCAAGTAACACAAGTGGGACACCTGCACTGGGCAGGTACCTGCCGGACTACAGCCTTCCCATGAGCTCACCAGGCCCCACCACAGACTCAGGCGATACAGGGCCTCTGTGAACAGAGACGGGGCCCATGATGGGGATCACATGGCTTGGAGCTGCCACCAGGTGTCCACACAGCCCCTTTCCCTCGGGTGTTGTTCTTCCTCAAACAGCCCCGCCCTGGCCATCACAGTCACTGGACAAGGCCCCTCTTGTGGGGCACCGGCCATCACAACTCCACTGGGTCTAGTCCCTGGCCTCCCAGTTCACTGCGCTCCCCAGTAAAGGACCTGCAGCTCTTCCCATTCCGAATAGCTACCCATGGGTTTCCATGGCTTAGAATTCCACCATGCCTCGGTTAGGTGGCTGCCTGCTGATATTTACAAGCAGCCGGGACATCTTTCTAAAACACCAAGTCAGATCAAATGGCTTCCCGTGACAGGTAGGTGAAGATCCAAGTTCCTTCACGTGATCACAAAGCCCCAAGTCTGGCCCCCACCGACCTCCAACCCCACTCGGTCCACTGGTCTTCGGCTCTCTCCTCTTGCCACACACACACCCCTGCTGCCGAGCCGGAGGCGGCACAGCCTCTGCCAGAACACGCCCTCCCCGCACCTGCATGTGCCCCAGCCCTTCACGTCACTGGGGCGCAATGAAAGCTCCCAGCATGGTCCTCCAGCGAATGGTTGGGACCTTGTAAACAAGGCCCAGGTAACAGACGGCTGTCTTCATTGCGACCCCCGGGCATAAGCACGGCTGCCTCAGACGCAGAC